AGAGGTATGATTTAACCGTGACCATTGGTGCGGCTGACGTAGCTCCCCTCCAGACTGTCCATTTCAGGGTATCAGCAAGTCTTTTGGTGTGTTGGGTGTGATCGACACAGCATTATCTGGTTACGATCTATTTTTCCAAACCAAGGGGGACGTATAAACACTTATTGCTTTCAGTCTTTTCGAACTATTTGTGACATCAACATGGAGCTACAGCAGCAGTAGTATTTATCGTGGGCTATAATAATTAAATGCGACGGAATATTCATATGTATGATCATAGGATAACGAAATCACGTCGAAGTATGCAAACCACTGCTGAAGCAGGACTAGCCACTAGCATTGACATTCCCACCCCTCTACGCATACTTTCATGTCTACGGCCAAATGCAAGTTAGGCTGTCAATCTTCCCGTGGGTTTGTACTTCTCATTATAGGTAAGACACAAGAACTAGACTGGAAGACCCAAGGTGCGCATGCTTACTACTGTGTGCACACCTGGAATCTTCATATATCCCCGTCAGAGTCACACAGCATTCAAAAAGGAGCATTTCCAGGCGGCAAACTGCGAAAGAAAACTAAGAAGAGAAGAAAGAGTCTACAAAGAAGACTATCCTTTTCTTGCCATCACGCAAATACTTTTGCAAAAATAGTTTCCATATACATAGTTGGAAATTTTAATCATCCTAACGTTTTATTATGTGTCGATATGGGCCTTGCTGTCGTTTGATAACACCATAGAATGTCAAAAGACAAGCCCTATACTAGACGTAAGAAGCTGAAAACACTTCAAGAGTACCACTTACTGAATATGTTATGCAGTCCAGTCCTGCCTCCTTCCATGCCAATAGAATGGTTTACACGTGCTAATTCCTCACTAAACTGGACCCTCAGCTCTCAGATTACCGGCTGGAAAGTGTCTTCTTAGAAAATATCTTCTGGTTGACGTGAACTACATAGGGAAGTTGCTGATGTTAGGTTTTGATCACGAAGAGGCGGACATGTAAATTGACGAAGCGGTCGTCGTTTGTAGGTGTAAAGTTGAACATGAAATATTTCACTGGGCTTAGGCATTTGAATTATCAGCACCTTAGTTGACGGCAAGCATTCACTTCTGTTCGAGTTATATTATAATAAGATTTTGTCCTTCCAGTACTGCTGAGCGCAGGTGCAAAGTGCGACTTATCTGCTGCTTAACCTTTTTTTTCAAGTGATACATCCGTTCAATTACGTCGGGATGTGCTTTTGATGTTAGAGGCTTCCACAAGTGCTCTTGGAATTCAAGTTTCCGTTCTGTTCTTACGTGTAGCGGGAGTGGTAAAAGCGTTAAGACTGGGAAAGGCGTTTTTACACCCTGCAACGAAGATATTTAGGCCACAAAGCTATGGACACTGGCGAAGGGCAACATCATCCATAGCCACTAGGCAGGGCATCAATTCGTTTCATGCAATTGGATGCTAACTCGTGAATAGCATGGCAAGGGATTTAATCATAGGAGTCTTTCCCATTCACGGAGCCCAATCTACGGCGTAGCATTGCTGCCCTAGCTATTGTATCAAGCTTTCATTCCTCGGGAGGCCAGTTGCGAGGTGTCCCACAGCCGACGACATGGCTAAGATCAGGTGATCTCAAGGCTGCACAGACGTTACTGGGGAGCTGGAGCTTGGCGTGGGCGGTGATCCAAATCCTTCGCCTCGCTTGCCGCCGCAGGAAGAGAACTCTGGCAATTGGTGCCTAAGACGTCGTCGGAGACTGATCGAAGCATACCAAACAGGGGCCAAGTACGAATACACAAACCCGAATTGCATTCTGATGCGGGCACATAACCGATGTGAGCTGACATTCGCTCGCCTATTCGTAGCATCACTTGGCTTCATTAAGACAATCGTGGGGGCTGATGGACGAAAATCCCTCCTTCATGGTCTTCAAGAGAATCTTTTCCCGTTGGGTGTTAGCCGACGGCCCTAAAACTACCTATGCTACACGGGGGCCGCGGGGGCTGTAAACCCTTGCAAAGTTTAACAGCTCTCCCGGCACTATGAACATGGCTCTGGTGCAAACAGACATGCGAGGCAACTCGACAAGGGGCTGGCACTCCACTGTAATGGTGATTCTCCCCAGACCCCGGTTCCAACAGGTGGTTGCAGACTAATATGCTGCACTGCCATGATTGCTTCACCGACATTTTCTCCGGACCTGCGCCCTTTCACGCTGCTTCTGGTTTTGAAAAAATCCATGGTTCTCCAAAAACAGCATATGGTCAACATTTGAGGAAGATGACGGATCAGATGTACTCGGAGTGAAGGAGAGTAGACGGGCCATGTTGTAATGTCATTGCGACGAATTATCTTCGTGCCAGTCTATGCTGAAATTCATGCTTAGCCCCCCCTAACCAGTGCATTGTCACACCTGGGCTCAAAATTGGCATCCTCACTGCAAATATCGCTATGCTATATCATATCTCATACATCGCATTTATCGAACGAAAGCACCACCTCCACTAGCACCAACCAGGTTACCTGTCATCCATCCGCTCTCAGGCAGGCAGCAGACGCCAACAACGCCGGCAACTTCCTCAAGATAACCAGGGCGACCGCCGATGCTCTGGGCCAAGTCGAGGACTTCCTGGCTGTCGACGCCAGGGCGAGCCTTCGCAAGAGGGGTCAAGTTGTTCAACGGGCGGAGAGCCTCGCGAGGCTCGTCGGGCAGACCAGAATACAAACCCGTGTCCATGGGACCAGGGGCGACAGCGTTTACGGTAGCTCTCTCCGCAAGCTCCCGAGCCCACACACGGGTCATGGCCTCAATAGCACCCTTGGTGCCAGCGTAGGACGTCTGCCACCAGACACCCCAGGTAGTAGTGGCGCTGGAAATGTTGACGATGCGACCAGAGCGGTCAGTGGGGAGGTAGGGGAATGCAGCCTTAATCAGCAGCGCGGGGGCTCTGCAGTTCAAGTCGAAAGTCTGCTGGAAGAGGTCGATGTCCAGCTGGTCGATACCCTGGGCGTTGACAGTGGCAGCGTTGTTGACGATGATGTCGATTTGGAAGCGACCAGACGCATCGGTGAAGTGCGCCTTTGCTGCATCAACAAGCTGCTGAGGAGCGTCGGCCTTGCTGAGGTCGGCTTGAACAGGAAGTGCCTTCACGTTGTATTTGGTCTCGAAGTCCTTGGCCAGTGCCTGGGCCTTGGGCGTGGAACCCTCAGTGGCATAGTTGAGGACAACATTAGCACCTCTGCTAGCAAAGTGCTCGGCAAGAACGGCGCCGAAGCCTTCAAGACGAGTTAGCTGATTGTGATGCCATAAAAACGTGTTTAGCCACGGCGACCCATGGCCAACGTCAGAACCTTAATTTCACTTACTGCGAGAAGCACCAGTGACAATGGCAAGCTTGCCCTCGAAAACCCTGAAAGGAGGAGCCATTTTTGCGATTCAGTTTCAAGATGAAAGATGATTAACCTTGGGTGACGGCGGGGAGACGCGGAGGATATTATCTCCTCCCCCACGTGATAGAGAACGCATTTTATATTCTCCTCCGTGACAGTTGTCTCTCTCCTGTCTCTAGTGCGTCTCTATCCACTTGGTGCACAGATCAATGCCGACGGGCCGCATGGTGTGGTGGATTCCAGAGAGCAGTCTAGACAAGGATAATGGCAGGAAGAACAACCTAAAGTCTCCACGCAGCCACGTCAACCGACAAAGGCGCCTGCCGATCTCAATGTCTACAAACTACCGATGAAACCTCGCGAACTTCACCAGTCGCTGGGCAAAACCACAAAGGTCATGAAGCAACTCCATACGGGGAAGAAAAGTATGCAGAATGCAAATCTCTTCTTTATCATATCTCGTCTTGATCGTTGGCAAACACCTCCTACTTCCAGGAGACCAAGCGTCAATGCAAGTTTACAAATCTCTCATCAAAGTGGCCCCCATCTCCATTCACAGAGGGGTAATTATGGGTTTACGGACACAGCTGAAATACGCGACTCCACGAGTATCAACAACCGCAGTTGCATACTGTGAGCAAGGCAGCCCGGCTGCGTGGGTCGGCCAAGTAACCGACTGACACTCCAGCAAACCGTGTTGGAGAGCTGGATCCACCATCATGGGTCAAGCCAAGTCGCTAGGCAGGTTGACACCGCCGGAATCCGCTAAAGAGCTCCCCGATCCTCGGAAGAGGATCTGCCAAATACAGTATCGATCTCCCTTAGATGGAGGCTAGACGTTTCGGGACAGTGGGATAAATGCGACACCAGACGGATGAAAGGAGCTGGTATGTTCACAACCAACCGATCTCGCGTAGCATCGACAGGAACCGCTAGACTCCCAAACCAAGCTGCCGCTAAGATCGTGATCGCACAGACGAACGGCACGGAAGTTCGAAAAGTAGACCATCTGCCACGAATCTTCTGACGGAGACCACACGAAATTCGACAAGTAGAATCGTGGTGAAAGCCGAGAGTATCGTCATGTTCCTTGTGCCATGCGACATGCAAGAATGACGGACACATGCGTATGAACTCACGTGAGACTGGAAGGGGAGGACAGACGTTCCCTGTCGAAAGAAACCAGCCATCCATGGTCGAGGGATGGGCAAATGTCTTGATTGGTTGGCAGGTTAATAAAAGAAAGTCCCGATGGGATGCCGTCGAAATTAGAGAGTCTGAGCTGGGCAAGGGGTTTGAAGAGTCTTCCATGCTCGCTTCCTTCAGACTTCGAGGCCTTCCTTGCCACAGTGCCACACTAGGCGGCAGAGGTCTCGGGGCTGGGGTTTGTGGATACTTTGTGCAGGTTCGTCTCTTAAAAAAAGAACCGAGACGCTATTAAGTAATTGGCAAATGCTGGCTATTGTTTGGTATCTCGTTCTCTTATAAGTTTTCTGGGTCGGTAGGTCGTTGCTCGTCTGTTCGCTATTTTGTGGCCCTTTCATCCCCTTCGACAAACCAACGCGTGGAGCACGAAGCCGGTTCTTCAGTGATCGCAAGTCCGTCAATCCAGACACCATGGGCGCCGCAACCTCGAAGGACATGGCCGCAGCGGTCCTGGTGCCGCTGCCGTTCGACATCATCAGTATGGCGCTGCGATTTATGATCCGGACACAGAGAAAGGCGTGGGGACCCGACGATTGGGCCATGGTAGCTACCATTGTATGTTCCATCAGGCAGATTCCAGCAAGGTTTTGACTGACAATTTGAAGCCGGTTTGGACGGTATCTCAAGTCGGCTTGATCGGCATGGCCTGGAGTGGCGTTGGTCAGCTCGACTCAACCTTGACACCAGAACAGCAGGCCAACTCTTACTTCGTAAATCATGAAGATGGCTTCCATTTTATTGCTAGGTTGCTGATGTGTTGCGCAGTGGTTTTATGTGTTTCAAGAGTTCTGGTGTTTTACCCTCGTTACCTTGAAATGGTCTATCGGTTTCACTCTTCTCCGTATCGCGAACGGGCAGCGCTGGGTTCAAATTGTCATCTATACGTGTTTAGCACTTGTTACAGTCTGCACTGGTGGCACTGGGATGTATCTTTTCTTCCAGTGTAGCCCGGTTGAGTAAGTTCCAAAGCCCATGGAGCCTGTTGGATGCGTTACTGACCATTGCAGGAAAAATTGGTTCCCGCTTATGCAAGGAACATGCCAACCTCGTGAAATACAAACCGCCCTCTCGTTCCTTGTTGCAGCTGTCTCAATTTCAACCGACTGGATCTTCGCCATTCTCCCATTCGCCCTCATTTGGAGACTCCAGATGGCGAACCGAATCAAGGCTTCCGTCATTGGCCTGCTCGGTCTTGGCTTCTTGTGCGTCCCCTATGTTTAACCCCGGATCCTCAAGTTATTCGCTGACAGCAGTTAGTGCTTCCATCGCACCCATCGTCCGACTCAAATACCTTCTCCTTTTGAACGACTCGACGAAGTTCCTCCAGGGTCTCAGTATCATCCTTGCCTGGGCACAGGCCGAAGTCGGCATCGGCATGCTTGTCGCGAACCTTCCTGCTTGTCGTCCACTTCTCGAACGCGCCTTGTCTCGCCTGACATCCTTTACTGGCTCGAAGAATAAATCCTCCAAGGATCCCGCTGCATCTGGCGCGGTCAAGAACAGCTATTTGGAACTCGGCGAAAGGGATCCGACTAAGAAAGGGACTGCGAACGCAAGCCGCTCCGGCGTCGAGACGAGGGTATACGGAAGGGACATGGATGGCAACAGTAGTGAGAGCTTGCCCGACGACCACAGTCAGAAGCAGATTGTCAACAAAGGAGGACTTGGTGCAATTCGGGTCCAGCGGGAGTTTGGTATGGAAGTTGAGAAGAAGCGCGGCGGAAACAGCATGGTATAGGATATCACGAGCTTGGCGGTAACGAGGGTACTGACGATTAAAATGGGCTTTCTTTTCGAATAATGTGTACAATCTTCAGGGAACTCAAAATACCATTCCAGCTGACAGGTCAGCATTGAATACTAATTCGTTGCCAACCACCTCCAATGATCTGCGCGACGTTTTTTTTTTGTGTCTGGTAATGGTTCTGGGCCGTGCCATCCTCAAACTTGGATTCTAATCACAGGAAAACAACCAGTGACGTTTCCTGAAGTATCTTGCGCATTGCAAATCACAGTCAGAAAGGTTTGTAGCAACTTTGGCGCAAGTGGAATGCGACACCACCCCGCCCTGACGGCTTATATGTCACATTGAGACATCTCAATGCGCGCAGGCCAGCGGATAGAATTCGCTGATGCCTTTTGACCCGTTACGCTGGCTAGCAACTGGTGTTGTTCTCGAAGTCGATCCTTTGCGGCGACTTGCCGTTGAGCCCCCCCTGGCGAGTTGTCCTGCGTCCATTGCGTCTACAAGTGTGGAATGCTCCGCCGGATGAGCCCACAGCGCGGCAGAGCGGGTTCGGCAAGCGCTCAGACAGCAAACACGACTCGCGCCAACACGCTTGAATATTCACGCACGGTACCATACGGCACTTCTTTTCGGATGTTCCGATTGGCCTGCAATGGTACTGTGGATGTCTTCCGAGGATGTCACGCATACGTACAAACCGTCGCTTTTTGGCTGTTAGTGCCCGGGTACCGCAAAAGGAAATTCGGTCGTCGCCCGAAAGTCGGCGACCGGCACAACCCCAATCTCTCAGGCCAGGGGGAGGAGGGGAAACGCTATCGATCTCGAGCTCACGACGATTCCGTCGTTGAATGGCCTGTCTCAAAACCTAACATACATATATCAACAAAAGCTGCCCCCCTCAGCACACTGTCAGAGATGCAATCTAGATGGAAAACAGTCTGGGTAAGTACGGCCGTGTTGACTTTCACATGAAAGTACCTAGTACCCAAGGAATCCCACAAAAAGTCGATATTGCGGCGCCAACAGGCGCCAGAGCCATCTTACTCTGTACAGAGAGGTCTTCGGCTGTTAGCTCAGGCCTACCTACCCATACCGCCCCGTTCATCCGCTTGCCTTTCTCGTCAAAGCATTGTCGAAACTCATAGGTGGTATGTATCCTTCTTTCCACTCTCAAGAGTCCGCCACTCGGAAGTCGCCCGCACTCCTGTCGCACACGGCAGCAAATTCGGCTGCCAAGCTCGCGGTCGCAATCGGACTCGGCCCCACCATCGCCGATACACTTGGCAACGCTCACCTTAGAGAGCTTGAGGCATCCATGATACCTTTTGTGTTATCAAGGTCAATGCTGTTAAAACTCAAAAATACCTACATAGAAATGGCTACTATGCTTTCCGCTTACTCACTCCAGCCAAAGATCATTAGACTGCTAAGACCAGGTTTCGGCGATGGACACTACATTTGCTCCGCGCCGGCCGTCAGACACGCGGCAAGTATGATCAACCAGCCTGAACCACCAATGATAGTAATCACTTGTTTCTTCACAACAGTTTCTATTTCCGAAGTTCCGACCATCTTGAGAGGTACCGCGTCTTATCTCCTTGCTCGTATGCCCGAGCCAGGCATCCGGTGGCACAGCAGAGAACTCGTAATCCGACTTTGCACACTTCAACTAGCCGTCTATTTAAGTTCTGAGGGGGTGGGAAATTTCCAAACGAATTCCACATCCTCAATCAAGACAGCCAATCTACTTAGGGATACCTCGCCCGCACGCTCACTATGACGACCGCAGAGAGAGACACCGTAACAGCCATCAAGGCCATCGAGACTCTAGCCCGAGGCACACTTCTGCAGCCTAACCGTCGACTTGACCAAGCAATCATCAACTCTGAGCAGAACGGACTTCCATCCATCGAGGTTGCCCCCCTACAGGGGCAATTTCTTGCTATTCAGTGCCAGCTTCTGGGCGCAAAAACCGTCCTTGAGATTGGCACCCTGGGAGGCTATTCAACCATCTGGCTTGCAGAGACTGGTGCAAAGGTCACAAGTATTGAGATCAACCCGAAGCACCGAGACGTCGCCCTCCAGAATCTGGATGGTCTCGACGCCGAGATCATACTCGGCGCTGCATTGGATGTTTTGCCAAGGCTTGCAGAGGAGGGGCGCAAGTTTGACATGGTATTTGTTGATGCTTCTTGGGGTGAACAGGAGAAGTATTTTGACTGGGCAGTCAAGTTAACCAGACCCAAAGGGTGCATCTATGTCGATAATGTTGTCTGGAATGCTTTGGACAGCGGCGCGACAGAGGACGGCAAGCAATCACTCCTTACTCAGGTCGGGAAGGATGCTCGCGTCAGGGCAACGCTCGTGCCAATGGTATCTACGGCTCACACCGAGCACAGGGGAAGGATTATCACTGATGGATTCCTGTTAGCAGTGGTAAACTAGACTTGGGTAGCCTACGACAAGTTCAAGTTTGTGGTTCTAGGGACATGGGTGTTCGGCTTGTGTATTAGTTAAGAAGGGAATTGACAATAGCCTTTTTGTATTAATACGCGACATGTTCCTGAACGTATACTGTGCCTGAGATGCGCCAAAAGTGAGAATGAGACCACGACTGGGATGTTTCATTGTCCAGAAGGTGAACAACAACCCCAGGCTCTCCGCGATTTCCCATCGAAAATTTACATAATTATGGCCTGGGCAACCGTCCATTTGCTAGAGAATCCGGTCTCAGATCCCTCAGGATCGCGGACCCGTCCAAACCCCAGACGGCGAAAATGGTTCGCGCTGGTCTGGGAGCGACCGAGAATGAGGAATGGGGAGAGTTTCCCTTGCCGGTGAAAAATAGACATGAGATAAACTGGGAACGTTCCTGGTCTCTGGACACCATCGAGAGCTCTCTGGCTAGTCGTTGTCTCGTGATCACAAGAAATTGTTCCAGTCTCGAGTGGAACATCGAGCCACAGATCCGATGTCGCCAACTTTGCTGGCAAAGGTTCCGTATGTCCTGCACTCAGGACATCCAGCGTAGCGAGCCCAGAATCTTCAATGGACACAATAGCCTCGACCATGGGTCCACGAAGAACTATGGTCGGCGTTGCCACATCATTGGGCTCTTGACTCTCCAAAGGTTCGGGATATTTCAGAACTTCAGCCATTGCCACTGTGTCCTTGTCGTGAGCTTCAAAGTACATGGATATCCGCGCAGAGATAGAAGCCCAAGTCCACGAAGGCATATTGGGTGCACTGATATCGCCTGGCTGGAGAGCAAACCAGCAGAGAGAAGACAGAAAATCTCGTCTCCACAAGCCCCAAAGATATTGATCTTCGAGCTCCTCTCGGAAGCGATCTGCGACGGCCGTTATCGCGACCAACTTATCAGATTGATGCGTAAGTTGCCGACGTGAGTAAATCCTGATGATGCGTGCCCAGACAGCATATAGTGAGAAGCTGTCGAACGCCATCTCCTCCCGGCCTTCCTTGATGAGAGTTTCGATGTTGTATGATTGAGTGTTATGTTGGATGCGTCCAGAGGCCACGTTGTAGTAAATCGATTTGTAACCACATTCGCAACGAGAGCCATCGAGACACTCCCATAGCATCTCATGTGAGCCAAAAGAGAGATATCTCCTAGCCATCAATCTTTCCTGGAAGCACCAAGCACGGGAATCTATGGGACCCTGCACCACAGGTTCCCATCCAGCATGGTTAGGGATCACCCTGTATGTGATTGCCCCTGAACCAGGAACGCCACACGTGTCAAACGACAGCTTACCCTCTTTGTACGGTGACCTTTCCCGCAATATCCCTCTTGAGACGTTGTCGGACGAACTGGTTGCTAGAACGAGAGCGGCATTTTCGTAAACACTCTTCATGCTGGCAGCCTCTTTCGCCCAATCCTCTCCATCATCCTGCACGATGCAAAGAGAGTCGATCCAGATATACGTGAAGCCCAATGCCAAAGTCACGGCAATGGCGTCTTTGAAGTTGCGTGGAAGAGTGACTTGATCGATGGCTCGGACATGTGTTCCAATGCTGTTACGCCTCGTCATTGGAGGACCGGCGCCATCGATGGAGAAGCCCCAGCAATGGCTCAAAGCAACAAAATTGCCAAGCTCGTTGTTGGTAATTTGTAGTCGGGGCGGGTCAACGCTCACATCAACGATTCTCGTTGGTAGAGGTTTCTGTCTTATGTGACACGTAGAGTGCGATGAAGAGCAGCTTTTCATCCACTCCTGCGCTTGTTCAATGCAGTCTTTCGTTGCGTTGGTGTTCAAAATGGGGTTGTATGGTTCTAGGTGGTAACCATCGCTGTCTTGATGTCATCTTAGCTTTTGGTCAACCACGTCAGTTATTGCACAGGAGTGCGGCCAAGAAAAGCTTCTGGCTGCGAAGAAACAAAAGTAATTTACAGATAGAGACTGACCTATGACACTCCCGTCTCGTGCGAGAATAACCATGCGGACTTGGTTCGTCATATTCTCATCACTACCACAGTTCAGCGTCAGTGTCAACCGGATGACACTATCGATTTCGTTGTCGAACATGGACGACAGTGCGAATGCATCATCATAGCCGAACTTGCTTATCGCGTCCTTCGCGACTGCTGTTCCAAGCTGACACAAAGAGCAGCCACCGGCCAAAGCACTGGCAAACCATTTCTCGAGCGGCTCAACCCCGTAGCCTTGTGGGAAAGGCAACTTGCAGTTGGCCCATGGAAAGGTTTTGTGACAGTGACAACTGGTGCAGATGCTGTCCATCGCGTCTTCTTGGTTCATAATCGATTGCCTCCCGCTTTCTGGGATACATGTCTCCTTCAAAGGACCACCCGGGTTGAAATGGAGTTTTACGGATAATTGCGAAGCGGGGAAGTTGATCGAAGGCCTCCACACGTGATTATTGTCAGCTCAGTGTGACATTACTGGCCAGTCACTAATCAGCGAATAAGAACACCTGAAGCCAGACGAAAGGATCGTGAACCCAGTCACCTGCCAACCTCTCACTGCGAAAGTCCCTCGCTAGTGGTTCTGTGAGAATGCATTGCTGAACATGGCTTCGGAGTGGACATTTGGGTGTCGTTCGCCACATCCAGGACATCCGAGAATACAACTCTAGAGGTGCACCGGGTTATTCGACGAGACTACATGTGTTGACCCACAGAGCGATGAATTGACTTTTGTTTATTGATAGGCGCATAATGGAAAGAAAGTAAGCTTTAAAGAAGGAAGAAAGGTTCCCTGCCTCGGCCGGCTTGAAACGTGAAACGCGCCCCGTGCGGCATTGATATCTCAGCAGCATTACCCAAATGTTGCGATCTCGCTGAAAGAAAGAATCTATCTAATTCTTCCAAAACATTTTCCAATTACAGTACTGTAAGAACGGTACATCCTCAGACTTCATGGCGACAAGCTGCCTACAGCAAATTACGAGCCTTCTCCCCTTTTCCGCTAATCGTCAGGCGGCTCAGGGAGATCGTTCCGAGATGACCGAACGCCCTGTCAATCTGTCAGCGGCAGATGTGTTGCAGCACCCTGCGTTTGGAACGACAAAGTGGAACCTCAAATCTGCCGAATCGGGGCTTGTCAGCGTGGCAGACAATCGGGCTGGCGGTCCATTTCCACTCTGGTATGAGGTCCATGGCAATGGGCCTCTGAAAATCGTGTGGATTATGGGTCTTGGGGCGACGAGGAATATGTGGAAACGGCAGACGCGTTTCTTTGGTCATGATCACGGTGACCGGTACAGCTGCTTGGTATTCGACAATCGCGGAGTCGGAAAATCAGGCAAGCCTAACTGCAGATATAGTACTGCAGAGATGGCAAGAGATGTGCTGGAGCTGATGAAGCAAATTGGGTGGCTCGACTCGGATTCACCAAGCTACCCCCAGGACATCAATATTGCTGGCATCAGTCTCGGCGGCATGATTGCGCAGGAGCTAGCCCTTTTAATACCGCAGCGAGTCCAGTCACTCATCTTGATCTCATCAGCGCCGAGACTGGTTCGAACCACACCTCTTCTGGACCACACTATGCAGCGCGTCTTCATGTTTCTCCCATCTGGATTGGATACAGAGCTGGACAATAAAGCACGCAGAATCTTCAGCGACAAGTTTCTTAGATCCGTGGACACCGGGTCTCTCGATGCGAATATCAGTTTTCCAAATAATCACGATCGTTTCGTCGCAGAAGAGCTTGCGGAGCGGGAAGACGAAACAGACGTATCGCGCAGAAAAGGGGTTCTCCTTCAAGCGGTAGCCGCCGGATGGCATTTCAAAAGCTCAGAAGATTTGGCTAAAATGGGCGATTTGGTAGGCCGATCACGGATCATGGTCATGCACGGCACGGCGGACGAGACTATCACATTTCCTCACTTTGATCTGTTCAAGACAGGCTTTGGAGACGGGCCGGAGTATTTTGTGTGGGATGAATGCGGCCATATACCGCTTTGGGAGAGAGAACACGAGTTCAACGCGCGTATTGCACAGTTCATATACAGGAACGCCAATCTCCCGGCCTGAAGACATAAGTCGGTCTTCCACCGTCCACTGGGGCTAGGACTCTGAGGAAATACACATCATCTATTCGTCACTTGAGAATCTATGACTCGGGGCCATTCCTCAGTTAATTTTCCGCTGTTTTCTCGGCATGTACTGTGTTTCTCTGTTTGTGAGCGTATGCCCTAAACCCGGATGCGTGCCCATGCATATTCCGGACCTTCCGGAATGCATGATCGACGAGTGAATTGTTCGCTTGAACCACACTACTCTGAGGTTGTCACAGTGAATCCCATTCGCGGTGCTCGTCTTGAACTTACGGGTCCCCAGTCGGACGACGAGTAGCTGTGGGGGTGCTACCCCTCGTTCGGCAGTAGCTACACCGAAGTACGGAGGCGGATGTAAAGTCAATCAAGCTTCTCGGATATGTTACGCTAACATTTATCCGGTGACTACCAAAGCTTTCTTTCAAGATCAAAGTTATTTCCAACATCTGTCAAGGAACGGCGGCACTGCAAGTGTTTTCCTAGGTGTGATGAAGTCGCACAAAGATGCATGTCCGCATATGTCTTCTTTTCTTGCCAGTATTAGCATCAACGGCTATTGACAGGTGAGAGATTTCCTTAATGAACCGGAAATACAGGAAACCGTATTAAATAATTATCTTCAGGCGCGCGATTGTTGAATCGTTCAAAGTCATCAGAACTGAAGTGCCGACAAACATTGACAATGCAACTACACCACTTCAAGTTGGTAACGGCGACTTTGCATTCAACGTGGACATCACCGGAACCCAGTCATTGGTACCTTTCAATACATTGTGAAGTTGGGGCTGGCACAAAGACAGACTTCCTGAAAATGGGTGAGTGTTCATGCCTACTTTATTACGGATTGCAGGCCAAATCTGACGGTGCAATTCCATTGGATTTGTAGTGAGAAAATTGGCGACTATCATGGAGTAGCAATTGAGACACACGGGAAGGATGTTTTCTATGACATCGAAGATCCAGAATTACCGGAAGTTTCGAAATGGCTCAGCGCAAACCCCAACCGAATCAACTTAGGTCGGATCAGCCTCGCGTACAAGAATAAACCTTTGTCTACAATCACAAAACCTCATCAGGAGCTCAATCCTTGGAATGGAACGATCGTCTCCAATTTCCAAATCGATGGACACCATACGACAGTGATTACGCAAGGAGACTTCGAGACAGACTCTGTTGCATTCGAAATTCAATCCGACTTGATTTCGACCGGAGACTTGAGCGTCTTATTCGACTTCCCATATCCCCCAATTCACAAAGTTGAGAAATCATCAGACTTTGAGGTTTTTATGGGAACATATGACCTAAAGTCATCGCGGAATCATACAACATCAATCGTCAACAACTCTTTCTCCCAACAAATCTCAGCTCACATCTACCACGAGATGCAAGAGACGGCGTACTACCTGAACTTACGGTGGCCTCATCAAACACCACTCGGCGTGGCTCAGGTTCAGAACGAAGATCAGAACGGAACAACCGCCCATCGCTATACCGTACGTCCCAGAGATGCTTCTCAGGATTATATGTCCCCGAGTAAGCTGATCTTCACTGCTCATTACAGCCCTAAATTGGAGATTCCATCGCTGCCATCAGAGATACAAAAGAGAAACGTTGTTGGGTGGCTGAACTACTGGCAGGAAGGAGGCTTTGTGGATCTCACGAAGTCGACAAACCCCAATGCGACGGAGTTGCAGCGGCGTATCATCCTTTCTCAGTACGCGATGAGGGTCAATAGCGCTGCTACTGGCCAACCCCCGCAAGAAAGTGGCCTTGTTTACAACGGTTGGTGGGGAAAGTTTCATCTCGAAATGGTTATCTGGCATTGTGCTCAGTGGGCCACGTGGGGACGACAACAATATTTTGATCGAATCTTCCCGTCTGTGTACGAAAGTCTCTTACCTAGCTCGGAGGAAAGAGCTCGCAAGATGGGCTGGGATGGAGCCAGGTGGCCCAAGATGACCGAGCTTGTCACAAAAGGCATTGCACCTGGCGAGACGCGCGCATTTCTCCAGTGGCAACAGCCCCATCCGATGTATCTGGCAGAATTGGCCTACAAAGCCACCCCAACCAACGAGACCCTTCAACGATGGGATCGTGTCATCACAGCAACAGCCAACTACATGGCATCCTTTGCGTGGCTCAACAATCAAACTGGTAGGTATGACATTGGGCCCCCAATCCAGGGGGTTACCGAGAACTCTTCTCCAACCGAGATCTCCAACTTGTCATACGAACTCGCTTACTGGCAATGGGCACTTGCATCCGCCTGTAACTGGAAAAAAAGGCTTGGAGAAGGATGCCCACCCAGATGGACTGCCGTGGCAGATAGTATGGCTCCACCACCTCAATTTGAAGGGTTATATGCCCCTTGGGTTGGTGGCGGGTTGAATGCATCATGGTGGGATGACCCAACGCTGAAGAAGGATCCGCGCAGTGTCATTATGCTTCAGGGAATCTTGCCCGACACACCGCTGGTAAGAAATCCTTCCTACTATATCCTTGTCACAATGTTTGACTGTCTTCGTTCTTTAGGTGGACCCTGCCGTTGGCCTTAGAACGGCCGATAAAGTATGGGAGGCTTGGGGTGATGATCAGATCCGAGGCTGGGGCCGAAACATTTTAGCTATCAATGCTGCACGAGTCGGGAATCCCGAACGCGCCATCTATCATTTAACAAACTTCGGATATTGGACATTCGGTGACCAGGGCTTTGCCCACCGATCTGGACCAAGTGAGTCACGACCTATCGATCCCAGTCCTGTTCCTGTGAGCGCCACCATTTCTAACAAATTCACATATAAGGTCCATCTCCGCCTCCGTACTTTCCCGGCAACGGCGGGTTTCTTCTGGCGATCAGCTATATGGCAGCCGGCTGGGAGGGCTCTAAGGGGCATGCCCCTGGGTTTCCGAAAGACGGCTCCTGGGCCGTTCAGCATGAAGGACTACTGCAATCTTTGTGAGAGAATCTGTTTTTCTCCGACCGTTGTTTTCGGGGAACCTCAAGCTAGCCATCGCAATTGTTCAAGGTTTCTCAATACTCTGTAAACTAATTGCCGGTATATACTGCTACCAAGAGCCCGCCAGAGTATGGCGCAGTAGTAGTCTTGAATCGGTTCCTGGGGTCATCCAGGTACGCAATGAGATCCGCGTATCCATCCTTGCTAGAGACAACATTGTCTGCCACAATCAATGCCCCAGGCTTCAATCGAGTCTTGATAACCTTCAACGTGGGAAGAGCCAAAGCTGACCAGACTGCGAATGGCTTGTGTCAGATGCACAGCGAACATGTTTGGCTCAAGATCATGACTTAACTTACTATCCAGAAGCAGAAAGTCAATCTGTTCAGGAACATCTGTCTTGAGTGTTTCCCGCAAATCCCCCTCTTTCAAACGAATCCACTTCTCAACATCTCTCCCGGCCCGCTTCCAGTGCTCTCGGGCTCTGCTAGCCTTGGTTGGCTCGTTCTCTGTGGCGATGACAATGCCATCGGAGTTTTGGAGTCCCGCATTCTGCCCGACGGCAAGAGCAAGCCAAATCGTGCTAACGCCAAAGGAGGTCCCGGCTTCGACAACGTATCTCGCGCCGGCTGCACGCAACAGCAAGTAAACAAGAGCGCATTTGTCCGGCTCAAGAGCAACAAATCTGTCAAGGGCGACAGAGACGGGTTGATTGTCCGTACTGACGTATGGGGGCTCGGTGAGCGCTTGCGTATGCAGGTCTCGAAGCAGGTCAATGGTGGTCGGGCTTGCCTGCAACGAAGCAAGGTGCCGGTTGAGGCTTGCAATATCCGCCATACCGAAATATCGCGGAGGATTAAGGTCGCCGATGATGTTGAGAAACAGCGATGAGTTGCGTCAGCTTCGATCACAATGTTATATATCTGATTTTCACTTCCGAAGGGCGCAGTTGACGTTCAAGCCCGAGGTCGCGGGGATGGCCAGACTTGAGCGATTACATACCCACAGTCTGCAAGCCGGGCATTAAATGTAGATCGCGCGCGGGGACCTTTCAATTATCGGCTACTACATCAAATGGATCAGTTTAAAGACGGTGCATGCTCTGATTACCTCTTATTGGAAGATGAACATGGCTTGCTGATTCTCTGCTCCGCACCCCCTCAGGGTCTCGATTGCCGACTGTTGCCGTCGATCTCCGAACTGACCAAAGCGCCAAACGCACGTGAAGTCTAGCTTGCGAACGCCGCGTGCAATTTTGCCTTCACATTGGATGTCGCTTCCCCAATGGCACAGAAACTGACACAGGTACCGACCAGCCACACCATCAGCACATCCATCCGACTACGACAGCCACCTCCGGCCCCACAGCGGAGACCGAAATAACGGAGGTGGGGTGCGATATACCGGAGCACTGCCGATCGGCCTGACGACCCGATGTTTTAACATATTTCCCTACTCATTGCAAAGCTGGAACAAATCTGGCACTGGTAGAATTAGAAATAGTCTATTTTTGCTGTAAGAAGTGAGACGTCTCGTTACCTTGTGGCTTGTCTTCACGATCAACTTTTTCATCAAGCCCTTGCGTCGCGAAGTGTCCGCAGGGGCTGTCGCCTGTGGGCCGCCCTTCAGATCCGGAACACTAGCAAGCCACAACAAGGTCTTTCTGGAACAGCCGCTTCGCAGCGGTACGCCTCTTCTGATCAGTGGACATTCAATCACTTTCAGTCCCTTGCTTCCAAAACCGATAGAAACTGTTAGCTTCTACACTTCTTCTACGGCGGCAATATCAAAGATGACTCGCTATTGACATGGATGACAGAAGTCACTTTACCACGCGAGCCCCACTGACATAGATTTTTAACTGTAGTCAAAGCGACGCTCATGTTGCAACTCCAAATGAAAACTAGGAAAGGCCCTTTAGAACCAAAAACCCATCTGCTATACGGCAGACAAAAGGCTCAAGCTTGGCTAGAAGGGGAGCATGTAAGGGTCGAAAGAAGGGTTCAAAAAGAAGCTTGACATGCGAGCAGCGTGGCGTGACCGAAATGAAATGAAATTCTAAGGGAGAGAAAAACATAGTCGTATCAACTACGATATAAAAGGTGGTGCGGAACCAGACGCTGCGGGCAATTTGTTCTCTACTTTCACCCGCCACACATGGCAATGCCCAATTTCCGAAATCCCCGTGCCTGTAAGCAGCAAGTAGGATCTCGTACTCCGTGGCTGTGTCACAAACTAATGCTGATAGTTGAACCTCAACGGACATCCCGGCAACAATGAACACGCTCCATCATATCACGGATTGGAAGATAGTATCAGGTCCCGGCGACTTTCATTCCCACTGCAAGCTGGGAAGCCTTTGCGAAATCGGCCAAGATGGAACATGCCCAATGATGCTGCTTCTTGCGACTTATCGGCGTATCGGGCTTTGGGATGCATGTGACCCCAAGCATCGAGCATACAAACCAGGAAATCCATGCACGCAGAGAGAGGACAAGTTTTGTTCACGGATTGTCTTTTTGGTCAAGTTGCAACATATGTACGGCACTTGCGGGGCCGGGAATACAGGTCATGCGTGCTGCCCGTCCATTTCCGACGAAGAACGATGCTGGCTGTTCCCGACTTGTCCTTCCTGCGGAGTACTCACTGAAATCAGAGCTCTTGTTCTGATTCACCGAAGGATTTTGGATGAATGCGCCCCAGAAGAGGGATTCAGTCGTACTGATATCCGACACCTGGAGAACGGTCTGGCGGGGTATTTGCGAGCTTACGAAGTCAGAAGAGGTATGCACATCGACGAGCTTCGAAATCAGACCGAGGATGCCTATCGGATTGAGATGCAATATGCCAGAGGGGTGGATGGTTATATTTCGACAGTAGGACAGCACCCGAGCGGCGAGCAGACATGGTGGCAAGCTGTGCGGTTGAGGGTTACCACCATGATGGCGGACAGATTTGGCTCTAAGGATGAACACAGCTAGCTGTGCATGACGTTATTGGACACGGCTATGGACATTTTGTACAAATCCAAACCATGATTGTTACTTTTAAAGACGAGCGTCTAAGAACGATGAGCTCCTATATGTAGGGAGAGGCCAAACCCGCAGAGTGGCTCTACCCGCTTCCATTGGGTTCCTGATGATCATGCTTTTGAATTCAGTCTATGTCATTGTTCATCAGCCACAGCGGCCAAATCTCTTCAGCGCTGCTGCTCGATCTCTGTGGGATTATCTTGTTTTTGGTCGAGCTCGGCATCATTCCTGATGTTTCCGGCGTGTATGAAAGACCTACATTTGCTACTCATTTCAGTTGAAGGAATAAAAGTATGTCCAGCGTCGCCGAGACAGGTACTTTGTGTGACGCTCATGACCGGACCCAAGGCGTAACACCGGAATCTGATTGATAAACTCATCAGCAGAAGTTGTTTGTATGGGCCGCCAAGGCAAATACTGAACATGGGCAAGATATGAATGCAACCTCCTTGGCAATATAGCTGCCGCGATTATTCTTGGCATTCGTGTATTGTTGGGTGCTTCAGTGGGGGAGGCTCTTGGCACCACCTTTCGATGGCTCGGCGCAGGCGGAACTGCTCCCGGGATTTCAACCAATGCACTGCAATGGGTGCTTGCGCGCTTGCTGTTTTCCCCTGAACAAAACGAAACAAAACGAGATCGATAGCGGTTTCGAACTCGTGGGATTGCACCTTGCTACGTCAGCGGCACCTATCGGATCTTCTAAAAGCAGGTGGGCATCCGTCAATTGTTTCTCAGCCAGTCCCAAATGATACGGATCCCATTTAGAACCGCGCAAGAGATAGGGTCTTGTCAAGGTGACTATGCTGCACGAAACACTACTCTGTATCGATTATCGAACGTTTTCCTTTGCTTGCACTTGTCAAGCGGGTGTGAATACGAGCCACCTGTGTTTCTTGTCTTCCAATGTACATGGATCTCCATTGTCCATGTGAAGTACCTCGTCCAGCGGCATGGAATTACAAGACGTCAAACACGGGACGCGATACGATCGAATTATCAGATGACTGCGTTGCAATTCATTACTTTTCCACGTTGTGCCAAGACACTGATACTTAATCCGGGACTTGGTTTTCGTCAATACCGCGTAACCCATACTGCTGACAGCCACCTTAGACAGTCTGACAAGTACAGACGGTGTACTACAGAAAGGCCTTTCCGCTGAGGCAACTCGAAGTCACTTCTCATTGCATGACAGGCGAGATCAACGCAGAACCGCATTCAAGTGGACTTTCTTGCGAGTCACCCGCGCGCACGTGAGGTAGATCAAAATCAGAACGGTCCTTCCTGACTTATGTCAGTATTTCCGACACTCGGGAAGTGCGCTACAGCATAGATTCTTTTGGTGCCTTGCTGTATCTAGAATCGCAGAAAACAATTAAAGTAATGTTTGTCGAGGCGAGCTGCAGCAGTGTTTCGACCCCGGCCGGACAACTCAGAAGTTTTCTTCGTCTAAAGTCTTGGTGTTTCCAACAAGAGAATGTTGTTCCTTGGAACGGCAGCGCACCTCATGATTCTCTGCCCAGCGGCGACTTCTAACAGCGGCCTCCTGCCTAAATATGAAGCTCTAGTTCGTCTAGGCGCCGTGCCAAGAGTGGCAGTGCCGAGCCCCTTGGCGCGGACAGGGCAATGATCGGCCCCGTTGTTGGCACCGGGACTCAGGCAATCGACGCCATTAAAGGTTGTTGGTGATCTTATCTGTTTTGCCTGTGCGCGGTTAGAAAGACTCGGCACGTTTCAACGCTTCAAAATTCCACGTGTGAGGTTCAAATTGAGATGAACGTTGTTTCCCAGATTGATTGCTTGTGTAGCGTGAGGCTTACCCCAATGGATGACTTGCCGCCCCTCCCCACTGACACGTCAAAATCCATGGCTCCAATCGGTGGATACCACTGAGAATGCGACTGTGGAGGACACTGCGAAGTTCCCCTCGCTGGCCAAGACCTCCTTAATTCATTCTTGACTTGATGTCTCGAGAATCGACGCGGAGTCTGAACAAGTTCCCGCCAGTCGGTGACATCCTTGAAGATGGCAGACGAACTGGCATGCTGCGGGTATAAAGTGCTAGTCGGCCACTGTCGTTGAATTGAAGCTCAGTCTTATCAGCACAAGCTTTCAATTCTATATCTTCACTCTTTTCAATTCCATAGCACCTCATTGACCCCCTTCGCCGTTCTTTCGAGACTTAAATCATTCATCATGCGCACCGACGCCTTCAAGTTGCTCGCGGCTCTTGCCGTTTCTTTCCCCGTTGTCTCCGCCTGCGTTGGTAAGGATGCTCTGCCTACCGCTACCGAGACCATCAGCAGCGATGCTCCCATCGAAGTTGCCGCTGGCGAGAGCTACGATGGCAAGTTGGCCCGCTTTGATAGAGGGTCCGGTGCCTGCAAGGACCAGACTGAGGGCGGCCAGAAGGACGCCGTCTTCATCCTGCGTAAGGGCGCGACTCTCAAGAACGCCATCATTGGCAAGGACCAAATGGAGGGAGTCTACTGTTTGGGTGGTGGTTGCACAATTGAGAATGTCTGGTTTGAGGACGTGTGCGAGGATGCCATTTCAATGTAAGTTTCAAGCATGAGCTATTCGATGTGGAGAGACGTAGCGCTGACGATGGTTTCCCGTACAGCAAGGAAGATGAGGCTGGCACCGAGACCAGAATCATCGGTGGAGGTGCCTACAAGGCCGGTGACAAGGTAGTCCAGCACAACGGCTGCGGTCACGTCAGCGTAAGTTTGATTCTCTGAAGGACAATGCAACAAATATCGGCTGACAACCAGAAAGATCTCCAACTTCTACGCGGAAGAC